AGCGGCGCTGTCGCGACTTCAAAGTACGTGGCAAGGGCGCTCATTCTTTTGTTCGATCGCTTCGCCCGCTGCCAGCCTTCTCAATCGCGGGATGCTTGGTGTTTGCACCCTCTCGCATGCAACATGCTCTAGGTTTTTCTTTTCCTCGCAGCGTCGTGTTTCTCGGTCATACCATGGCCGGAATCGGAAAGTAATTTTGTTATTTTTCTGGTTTCCTTTGCTTTTTCTACATAATAATGCTCCTCATCGCACTTGCTATATTTTCTAACCTTCAAACGAAAACACAACTAACTCGATCTCGACCTGTGCCCTTAACGTGCAGGGCTATGTAGATTGTCAAAGTATGTTCTTGATCTTCGTTAGCTAACCCTGCTGCATGCCTTCTTTCTTCGCCTTTGTCTGCTTCTTCGAGAGAGGGTAAGTTTTTCGATGGGGACTGGGAATCTCCTTGCGTGTGCCAATGCATCCTGCCTTCTCGCTATTAAGTTGTGTAGCACCTGCAACGCTCGTTTTCGTGCTGAAGGTGTGGTGTGCAACGTGATAGACGTTACCAGCAAAGACCTCACGACTTCTCTGCGTTGACCTGGTGCAGATCCATAGCTTTTTGGAGGATCCCAAAGCGTCGGCACAGTATGCCGAATGTCGACTCCACCATGTGCCGAGCATCAATTAAAAACGTTTCTTTGGCTACGATCGTATGGCTATGTGTGGCATTTAATCTACGTTTGTTCAAAGGCAAACTCCGGGATAAAACGGGGACTCACCTGTTCGAGTGTGAAGAGCTGGATGCTAAGTTGATCGAAGGTAATGAAAAAAGCAGGAAATACCTCCAAAGAACTACAAAATTAGAAATTCCTCTTCGTTAGTCGCTTACGAACCAGGGCTGGGAAAATTACGTGTTTGGACATGTCTACAGCAACTGTTGGCTTTGTGCCATCAACCGACACGACCAAAAAAGTCAGCAATGAAAACTGATTTTTTCTAGTTTCCCTATTTTTTTTCTATTTTCTGTGCTTTTTTGTTTGCTTCCTATCTTAAAATTTTTCTTCTCACTAGAATGATGACAACGTTCTCCAAAATGGTCGTAAGATAGGCTTTGATGTCGATTTTCGCAATTGAAATCCGCTAAATACTCCCCTACGACTTTCCAAACAACGGCTTAACATCTAGCGTTCCAGGTGGTTGTTTGGAAGATCACGTAGGACGGTGGGCGGGCTCAATGGCTTGGGGCGGCGCCAATGCTCCAACCTAGGCCCTAGCGCCTAAACCTTATCAAAACGCCCCGCCACTTCTGCACATGGTCTGCCCTTGCGTACTGCTCCATATTTGACGGGGAAACCTAAATTTCGCCAGAAATCCCGGAATTTGCCTTTAACGTATCCGCAGCCGCCTGCACATCCGGACGACATAGCGGTATCTCTGCTAAACTGGAGTCCACCAGTATATGGTACTACATAAGGCCAACTTCCTTGGTCTCGGTAGAGAGAAGAGATGGTTGTTGGCTTCGGAGAGCTTCTGAAGCACAGCAGCCACATATGGATCATTTACCTACACTCGCTAACCTAACTCTTAACTTCAGAATCCATGAAATCTATACACCCCTTACACGAACTGATGTTCCTAGATCATACGCAGGATGCGATAATCGCAGTCCACCTCAGCTAAGAAAATAATGGAGCAAAATATTCATAGTTGTAATACGTGAGGCCGGAATAACCAGATTCCAGCAACGGGAACTGTTATCGGTTTTAAGGCTAAGCGAATGTATCTCCAATCTCACCTCAATCCTTATGTGCTTCCCGTCCCTGAATCCACCAGCGCGAGGGTAGCCGTAACGCACTTACGACTTTCGGGCGATCTCTTCGAAACAATTCCTCGTCGTAATAACTTCCTTATACGGGTCTGATGTGCAGAAAATTATCAAGAATCAGAGTGGGTTTCTTATTTCTAGATTTTAGCAGATTATTTTCTCATCAGTCGGTTTGGCGTCCGCCACGTCACAGACAATCTCACAGTGAATAGCCCACAGTGTACCCCTTCGGCCAAAACGCCGAAGTCAAGCCCGTGGCCAAATCAACCTAGGAGTGTAGATATTGTGAAAGTGATTGTTAAAAATTTTTACTTCAATATGAAGAATCGCTGTCGTCCACCAATTGGTGACACGTGAGAGGTTGCCGAGTGGCAGATCTTGCGGGCTATCCGTACATAAATTCGCTCGAACTCCCCGTTGAGTGAATCTCTGAGAGCGTGAACCTCATCCACATTTGCTCACTACCGAAAGACCAGAAAGTACTGGCCTCGAATGTTCGCAATTTTAGAGTCGAGGAATGAACATCTCCGCTGCGATACGTATTCCATGGTCGCTCATTTCAGCAAAATGCCTCAAACCTGTTCCAGCCGTTCCTAAGCCTCAAGCTCTCTTCAAATGCTTCACTAGCCATTTCTCCGATAGATGCATTGGCTCAACATCAGCACATTTTTTACCGCTTCATGCGACCGACAGAATAAAATACTTTTGATGACTTGGATGTACAATTTGCCAAAAATCCGGTGGATATTGGCAAGCCAAAGGAAACCTGAATTTAAGTTTTTGAATAAAGTTTTGCGCTATTTTCGGTTCATAGAACATCATAGCTGTCTCGTTTGTTTCAGAAGTCATACATAGCAAAAACGAAGGAGATGACCCACCTTTCTTGGTACTTCCCCTTTCTCAGCACCATGAAAGAAAACCACACAATAAGATCTTCTAGAAATAACAATTGAACAAAAATAAAAAAACCAAGCCATTACTAAAAATGTAAATTATGAGAGAAAAGCAACACTGTCGGGGCGGTTTTGAACTATTATCACACAACACGGTAAAAAAATAACATACGGTAATAACTCAGTAGGATTAAACGTTTGCTCCTCAGACCAATAATTTCCGAGAAGAATCTTTGCAAAACGAAAACACGTTGAAGCAACATGGGTTCCAATAGCAGTATCGTGCAACCAGCCAACTCTACAAATGTCAATAGAGCACAAGGAACAAGTGATCTACGCAAGGAGAAAGTGTGGAAAGCCTCATTAACCCAAGCAATCCCCCTACAAGCGCTTTTGTACCAGACAACGTGGCTCCTCATTAATATCACACCAAATAGTTAACCCATTGGCAAAGTTGAGGCTCAATGCGGGCAATGCACTTTTTTTGCCACGTGGGACAAAGAAGCTCGATGTGGGGACGCAGCAGAGATAATTCCTCTGCGTAGGAATTCCAAAGTTACTTCAGTGGCATATAAATCAGGAATCGTTGAAGTACTTATGGTAATCATGGTTCTTGCTTCTCTTTCCTGGTTAATGTTTTACAGAGGAAGATCTTGAAAGTGATTTTCAAAGGAAAGGTCTCTATTTTTAAATGTGTGAGGCTGGCTTTTTGCTTTTCATTAGCTAGAGGTTGAACAGGGTCAAGCGAGGCGTCGAGGAAAATTCGGAAATACGACCCCCCCCCCCTCCCTCTGCCGAAGGCCGAAGTCCATGAAACAACCCTCTTTAAAAGCCGAACTATGAAAAAGTTGTTTAATTCTCCACCAAAACTGCTCATAAAAAAGCCCTGCTACCCCATCGTCCACAAAAAAAAACTCGTTTAAAAAGTATAAAAGTGAAAAAGTCAAAGAATGATCATTAATGACGAGTCCTGTCAAACGAGCAAACGAGAAACGGAGCAAAAAACGTCAAACTAGTCACTAAAAATGGCGTACTATGACAACACCTCTTCTTTGTTTATTTCCTCCACAAGACTTACCAAATTCTAGTACTACACAGATTATGGTTCTCAATTTACACGTCCCCCTTTCGCTCAAAGGAAGCCTTGTAAAAGCCTTCGCCAGCTGTGTGTTGACTGGACTTTGGCGTTGACCGTGGAGCAACTTATTTACTAGCACGCTTCCGATCTGAAATGTCGGAATGAAGGGAAATATTCAAAGGGTCGGCTTAGCACTGAGCACAGAGCGTACCTTTGGAAACTTTGAACTGTTATAAAGTTTTTCTTCACGTTCTCACCATCAGACCATTCCCACCTCCGCGATTTTGCATATTCTCTTCAAAAATTCCCGGCTCTTCTCATGACTGTGACAGAACTCAAACGGCAAAATTCCTGATATCTTCTTCCTCAGGACTGTTAAAGATTTGGGACGACCACAAAAAATTCTTGATACGACAACGATGAGTTTCGAGGAGTTACTTTAAGATGTGGCGATATTGCTACCCACCCATGACCACGCGCCTTAGTTGTTCAAAAACTGTTACGACTTGCGATATTGTCACTCAACCGAACGCCGGTCAACATACAGTTTTGAATAGCACGCTTTCGATCTGAAATGTCAGAATGAAGGGAAATATTCAAAGGGTCGGCTTAGCACTGAGCACAGAGCGTACCTTTAGGAACCTTGAATTCTTTGAATGCTTTCAGCTCACTACTACTAGCCCGATACATTTCCACTTTTAAGATTTGCTGTACAAAAAATTTTTGTTTTCCTGGTACTGCAGTTGCACTGATTTTGTAAAGGCGTTGATCCTGAGGTTAAGGCAAAATTTTGTGATGCTGTTGATGAAAGGGCTTCTTTGCTAAAGTTTCTCTATCTGGCTGTCAAAATGCTGTGCGTTGAACTACCTCTCACGACGATGATTTTGTCTTGCGTCTAAGTCATAGCTCTGTTGCTTGAGGTTTTCCACAACAACCAACCGTTTCTATCTAAAAATATAGTTGCTAGTTTTGTTCAGCACTGGTTTTTGGTTTTGTGCTCGCCTAGTGTTTCGTAGCAGTTTCGTTCTCACTTTAAAGATCATCTATATATTCCGTCATATGTTTCGCACTCGGCACCACGATTTTGCAGTTTTAATATTCCCGTCATATGTTACCCACTTCCAGTGTCATGCAGCGATTAAGCGATAACTCTTTCAACAAACTAATACTAGTGACTGAGTTTTATGTCTATGACACGTCATATCTCGATAGGTACGATTCATTGAGTATTATACTTAGTTACCTTCTTCACGGGCCAATTCTCCTCTGTCGTAATCGCGCTATGTGTTTTACACTGAAGAATATAGGATCGAGCTATGATCTTGATTCCGTTGGGGTTTTCGCCCGCGCAGAGCCACGTATTAATTGTGCAGTGATATAATAACATGTTCCGGAGATAGACACCTACTTGTTGAAGACTGCCCTTGTGCTTGTTGATGTCATGCGACGTCCACCCGAACACTTCTTCCGGGAGATAAACACCTACTTTGTTGAAGGACTGCCCTTGTGCTTTGTTGATGGTCATGGCGAACGCCACCCGAATAGGAAACTGCCGCCGTCGGAGTCGGAATGGAGCTCTTTTGTCCCAGTAGTTGTCAATTCGAGGAATTATAGCAAGCTGCCCTCTTCTTTCTCCACATATAAATTTGCAGCCAAGAGTGAATCTTCTCAGTGTTTCTACCTTCAATCTTGTTCCATTGCAAAGGCCATTAGTTACATCGAGGTTTCTCAGGAGCATTACAATCGCTCCTTTCTTCAGTCGTAACTCATGTGGTGGCATGCCTGTGGGAGTCAAAGAGTTCAGATATTCTTGTTGAAAAAGCTGCTCGCCTTGGCCTTCATGGTAAATAGCTTCATCGATGCTCTTGTATGTGCGCTCGTCTTGGGGATTGTCTACACGAAGACGGTCGAGAGCAACATCGTAACAATATCAGTATAGCACATCATGTATTCGGGCACTTGAATACAGCTGTCGGCGTCATTGCATTCACCATTGCCTATTTCTAAAAGACTTCATGCCAATCACTTCCAGCCTCTCTTGCTCTCATGTTAACGTTTAGACGATGAATGGAGAATAATGTCCAAAGAAAAGACTTGTGAACGCAAGCATCAACGAAATCCTCCCTCTGTCCGTGTTCGACAACTGGCAGCACTTGTCGAAAATCTCCCCCAATAACCTATTACTTTTCCACCGAATGGTTCATCGTTTTGCATTATATCTTTCAATAGAACATCCACGGCTTCCAAAGCGGCTTTAGGGGCCAAATTTCGTCCCAAATTATCATGTCCACTGCCACCAGTTCTTGAGCCTCCTTTTGCTGGCGTCTCATAGAAGGTGTTCGGTTTCCGTCTGTTATGTTCAACTTGAAACGAGAGTTGACAGTCCTTCCTCCTGGCAAAAGATTCGCTGCTATTCCAGTCCAAGCTACGCAAACGACTTGATGCCTTTGTCCAACAGCAATATCGTATATGGTGTTGTATAAGTAGGTCTTGCCACTTCCCCCAGGACCATCTACGAAAATACACCGTTTTCGATCCCTGTTCAGTGCGTCAAGAATTTCGTCCGCTGCTGCCCTTTGCCTGACATTGAGACTTTCACATCGGATCCAACCATTTGTTCTTCATGGTTCACCGCCAATGTAGGTGCTACGGGACGTTCGGCGACTGGAGGGGAAACTATTTCCCTGAGATCTTTGCCTATGAGAGCCATTCGGTCCAGAATATCAAAGTAGGCAAATGCTACTGCCAGTTCGCGATCGAACCCTCGACTGATGTAGTCATCTGACATTGCATCAGCGAATTCGTCCCACAAATCTTGTGCCTGAACAACCTCACAAAAACAGAGCAAACATGCGAAAAAGCTTCGGATACATGCTGCGGATTGGTAGTGAATAGCCTCCTCTAAACTTTGACGGAAATATCTGTCGTCATCCAAAAATCCTGCACGTTTTGCTGCCTCTGCAAAAGTGCTGTATGTGATAGGCCACTGTTCGTAATTCCTAGTTAACCCTACCACTACCCTCGGCATATCGCCTGTTAAGCGCAAAGCACGCCGTTAGGTTGTGAAAGTTTGGCGGGCTCAGGGTATTGTTGTTCACGTCCCTGTACAAATCGCACTGTCTGAAAATCAGGTAGGTGAACAACTAACCTACAAACCGTATGCGACTTTTCCTGCATCTCAAAGCCAAAGATCCTATATATGCTTTGTGGCGCACATCCGTAGCGAGTGTTCAAATGTTGCTTGATTTCGTCAACGTTATCATTTCCGCCCGCATCTGCTTCGCTTTCAACATTGATGCGAGCTCTATCCGCTCCCTTGTAGATGTATTTATAAAGATATTTCACTGCTGAAATCATGCCACAAATATCTAGGTTGAGATGACAGTCAAATTTAATCAGAAGGTGTGGGTTCGAAGGCACGGCCACACGCAAAGCTCAAGGAACACGGTAAAAAAACAAACATACGGTAATAAGTCAGTAGGATTAAACGTTTGCTCCTCAGACCAATAATTTCCGAGAAGAATCTTTGCAAAACGAAAACACATTGAAGCAACATGGGTTCCAATAGCAGTATCGTGCAACCAGCCAACTCTACAAATGTCAATAGAGCACAAGGAACAATGATCTACGCAAGGAGAAAGTGTGGAAAGCCTCATTAACCCAACAATCCCCCTACAGGCGCTTTTGTACCAGACAACGTGGCTCCTCATTAATATCACACCAAATAGTTAACCCATTGGCAAAGTTGAGGCTCAATGCGGGCAATGCACTTTTTTGCCACGTGGGACAATGCGGCTCGATGTGGGGACGCAGCATAGAGATAATTCTTCTGCGCAGGATTTCCAAATTATTTAGTGGCATATAATCAGGAAGGCGTTGCAGTACTTATGGTAATCATGGTTCTTGCATATCTTTCCTGGTTAATGTTTTACAGAGGAAGATCTTGAAAGTGATTTTTCAAAGGAAAGCTTCCTATTTTTAAATGTATGAGGCTGGCTTTTCGCTTTTCATTAGCTA